TGTTCCTTTATTGCCCCACTTCCTTACCTCTCCGCTGCCAGCAGGCTGTAAGCGTGTTTTTGATCCTGCTTAGACCACAGGCTTCCCAGACCAAGAATCGCCTGCTCCTATTTCTCCAATAAATTGCTCGGTATGTATACGGTATTGTGGAATTACCTTTATTAGATTAATTTAATTGTAAGACAAAAGAACCAGTCATTTGCCAGCTGCTCCCACCTCTTTGACTTCTACAAAATCAAGGTATATGCGTATGTTATCAGCAAGGAACATCTACCAGAAAAGAACAATGTGTCTATAGTTTTCTCCACCTACATTTTCAGGGAATAACCAGCAACCACCACTTAGGTAGAAGGCATTTCCTGAGGATTAGCAATCAGCTGGGGTCCCTTGGTTGCTGCTCAAACCATCAACTTCCTCAGGCCCATTATTAATCCCTAGAAAAAATCTGGCACCATGATTACTATTTTGTTCTTGTTTCATGGCGTAGGAGCGGAACCTCAGGGTGTTTTGATAAATGCCCAGAAATGTTTTCTGGTTTTACCGTACATTAATTCCCCTTGTGCCTCCCCTTCTCCCCCCACAACACTGCCCAGCTAGATCTTACTGCAGCTTTCCAGGGACAAACACCATGTGTTATTTCTCTGCCTCCCACAGCAACAATGTTAGGAGAATTATCCTAACACCACCAACAGGTACAGAGAAGAGCCCAAGCAGGGGTCATGGGATTATTCACAACATTACAACCACAACCCACACGTAGGGATAAGCAGGGCTGCAAAAACACCTATTTTGCATTCACCTTTCTAGGCAAAACCCACAGCACGACCTCACCACAAGGGAACTCTGCCGATGGTCTTCTCCTTTTTAAGCTTTTGCCAACCATTAGCATTTCACACTTCCACTGCTTCCCTAGGTAAGCTGTTCTGTGAGTCCACGTTCCTCTAGGCGAGCCAGCTTTTCCTCACATTCAGTCTCAACTTAATTTTCTTCCCCTCATTCCAACCAATTATTCCTAGTTACACTCTTCAGGGCCACCGTAAATTCTCTTCTTCTTCAGTCACATTCCAGCATTTACGGGCTTCCTCAGACGCTTAAACAAAACTCCTGTGTTTGTGTAATTAAGTTAAATGTTTCCTTATAAAGCAATCCTCCCAGCTCCCTAATCATTCTAGTTGCCTTTCTCAGATCTTGCTTCCAACTGATCAATATCCAAATACCAGAATGCCTAGGACTGAAAGCTAGTATGCTAAATACAAAAAGATCAAGAGCTTACAGAAGTGGATTCTACATTTTTGTTTTCAAAACAAAATTCCTTCAACATCCCTTTCTTTTTTGGCTATACCATCCATCCCACTTTCTACTCAGGCACTCCAAACATCACCCTTTCAGGTTTGACCTGGACCATCAAGCAGTTTCTCTCAACTTTCTTGTCCAACCTTTAAATTGCATTAGGAAACAACAACAAAAAGTCAAGTTCTGCAGCAAGTAGGAAAAGGCAAGTAGGAACCATTCACCAGAAGCTGGCATGTCACAGACTTTATTTATGATGTGACCATCAGCCTTTCAACTCTGCAGGCAGTAGATCTAAGCCAGACTGCAGTGCCACACTATTTTCTGCAAATGTTGGTACACCAGTGAACTTGTTTTCTTGGATTCATACAGGTCCTGCCATTCACATCC